GTAGTGCGATCGGAAGGTCAGCGCTGAATCCAGGATGACACCAAGATCATGAACTTGAAGACAACGCTCAAGGGACTGACCATTAATTGAATAATCATACGTAATCGGGTTGAGCTTGCGATGAAACGATATAACGTTACATTTGTGGAAGCTCAACGTCAGCAAGTTCCGGGTGCACCAATCAGCAAAACTATTCAGCAGCAATTGTAGAGCATAGCAGTCCTCGATACCTTTAATGATCATGTATATTTTGACGTCATCAGCGTAAAACACACGGCAGCCAGATGGTAGTACGAGAGAAAGCTCGGTTGATGAAGAGTGAGAATAACAAAGGACCCAGGTTGCTACCCTGTGGCACACCAGATAAGTTTAAAAATTGTTCCGAAGATTCAAATCCGACATTAACGGTGAGGCTACGATCCGTAATGTATGATCCAAACCAGCTAACAAGATCCGCAGAGACATGAATTCTTCCTAGACGTTTCAGTAATATTCCGTGGTCAACTCTATCGAAAGCTAATTTCAAATCAGTGTATGCGGTGTCGATCTGAACACCAGCATCAATGTTGCGTATGCAAAACGAAGTAAACTGGACGAGATTCGTAGATGTTGATCTTTTGGGGTAGAAACCGTGCTGATCCGTAGAAATATAATTCTTGCAGGAGTCGAAAATTACATCATTTATTATGATTTCGAAAACCTTCGATCAAGCACACAACGAAGTTATTTCTCTGTAATTCTCGATGTACTGTCGATCCCCCTTTTTAAACACGGGGAACATGACCGATGTTTTCCAGCTTGTGGGAAAACAACCACTCTCGTTATGATATGTTGAAAAGTGTCGTAAGAGGGAAAATCAACTCTTCGCCGCATTTTTTCAGGATGCATGCCATCTGGACTGGACACAGAGTATTTCAATTTGTTTATTGCGGAGTCCACCTGATTCGACGTGATCGCAAAGCTTCTCAGAGAACAGACCCCACTCGGTGAGCTGCTGTGATTTGACGTGCAGACGACGTAGAATCATTAAATGCCCTTCTACAGTGAGTGGCAAACAAATTGCACTTTTCCAAAGCGGAGGTGGCGACTTCATCGCCCAGAAACATCTGAATGGCTCTTTCCGTTTAGAGCCGACAAATTTCCAAAAATGTTTGTGGATGTCTGCGTAGATTTTACTGAGTTTGCTTGCAGTAGCGTTTGTACAGATAACGGTTATACGTGCGATAATTGTTACTAGCACGTGCGAAATGTTGCTTGGAAAAAGGACAACGAGACTGGCAGTAGGTTCGGAGTGCTTTGGATCTTAGACGTTTGAGTCGTCGTAAATGTATATTTCCCCAAGGTGGTTTCAAATATGGCCTGCGCAGTGGAACAAAATCAACCAAGTAACTCTTCAACACACTGGTGAAGTACCTTACAGCAATGTCAATATCTTCAGCGGATTCAAGGATGTGCCAGTCAGTTTGGCGAAGCTCTTCAAGTAATCCTCCAAAGTCAGCGAGGTGAAAGTCAAGCCCAGGTTCGTCCGGGAAACTCTCAAATTCAGTAGGCTGTTCGAGACTAATATTTACTTCAAAAGCGGGATGATCGGTATCAAGAAAAGAGAGTGGTTCTACAGCTGCTTCAATCTGGCATCGAGAGAGCGTTGCTTCATTCACCAAAGCGAAATCCAAAATTCGCATGTTCTGATTAATAATATAGTTAACTTGATACAGACCATGCAGATTGAAGCCATCGAGTAACGAGGCGCAAGTAACAACAGGTCATGAAAAATCTACATTTACGCTGTCCTCGATGCGTAAAAGTTTATAACGGGAAACGATAGACATTACAACCAGTGATGGAAAAGTTCATCAAAGTTCCCTATGACTCGCGAACTTTTCCCTTGGTGAACTTCGTGAAATATCGCGAACTTTTCCAACACTGATTACAACCCTTGAGAAAGGCCGCAACCAAACGGTCGAAACGTCGGGAACGTAAAAAATTCATCGTTTCTACTAAAAGACTGAGAAAGCCACCCCATAAAAGAATTCCAATCAACCAGTCGAAACCACCATTAGCATTAAATTATATACATTCAGGACTGCACCATGAGCTTCAAGAAAGTTTTGAGTAACTATAAGAAGTTCCGGGATTTTAGGGAATTCTAGACTTCCACCGCAGATTTATTATTTTCAGGGATGTTCCGAGTATTTCGAGCAACTCCGTTAATTAATTTCAGGAACTTTCAAGAAGTGCCAAGGAGTTATAGAATATTCCAAGAATTGCAAGAATGTTCCAAAAATTTCTGGAAAACTGTGGAATCTTCAGAAAAGTTGTAAAAATAGCAGGGTCATTTGGAGTGTAATGGAAGTTTACGTGAATACCCTTAATGCTTGATATTGATTTTACAAGCTACCTTGATATTGCGAGACTATTCACAACGTGTAAAGTAGAAGCTGAGAGTTGAATCGACGCAAAAATGATTTCGTTATAGGGTTTTTGATCTAATTTCCGTTGGGACCTCCCTTAGCTCAGTCGGTAAAGGCGCAGCTACAAAGCAAGACAATGCTGGAGGTGGCTGGGTTCGATTTCCGGTCCGGTTTAGAAATTTTCCGGGTTGAAAAATGTCTCTACTTCCGTGAGCATATAAGTATGATTGGACTTGCCACACAATTATATCAATGCAAAAATGGTACAGGCATCGAAAGCTCTCAATTAATAACTATGGAAGTGCATCTAGAACACTAAGTTGAGAGCACGCAATAAGCTAATATGCGATATGCAATAAGCTTGAAATGCGAAGAAGGAGGAGGAGAGGATCTAATTTCCGTCCTACTAAGCACAACCCGCACTTTACCTCTCTTTTCTGAACGAGTTTAAACAAAAAATTAAATATTTCAGTCAAAAATGCCTCCTAAATTTATTCACTTTTCCATACGTACCGTTGGATTTGATAAAGGGTCACAAGTTGTTGAGATATTGTTTAAAATCTAATACTGCTTCTTGATTCTAAATTCGTTCTACGAGTTTCAATTCCGTCCAAACGCATTGAAACGCCATTAGATGTTCTTCGTCCTACGTATAAGCGTAGAAAAAGGGGATGCGCTAGGAGCACTTGTTTCGTTTTGAGAACAATGAGCGTAAATATTCATACAATGCGCTCTAACAGGATTTATGTTGTAGCTAATGAACTAACGCATCGGAACAAACCTACATATTTTTGATTTGTGGACGGTGAAATCATTGATATCATTGATCTTTTCTCATCGATAGATGGGCGATTACGACGAAGTAGTGCTCTACCTCGTTTTCTTAGAAAGAGAAGGTATAATAATGCTATCTCTTTTCTATCTTCACCGATGGCAGACACGAAGCGACTGCTGCTAGCCGCTATGGAAGTTTCGGTTGCGTTCGGGTGTAAAGCAAAAATCATGAAACTCAATCTCACCACAGTTTGGAGAGATTTGCAGCTGGTGAATTTTGTTAGCTTGATATTCCGAGCTGCGACATGGCATCTTGCAATATCAACCGCAGTTGTGTGCTTGTTGATTTTTGTCTACGAAAATCAAGCGTGATCTTGGGCTTTGGAGAGATTTGATTTTTTGATATTTTTCCAACACTGGTTCTGAGACTGAAAATTACGTATGATTGAGCTGAATTTCACGTCGGTTATGACTCAATTTTATTTCAATATTGACGCTCGTATATCGCAGCATCAGAGCACATGTACAGGGTGCGTGACGAATTTTTGCAGTAAATTTCAAATAGTAATTTCTCATGCTTGTGCATCATGATTTAGATATATTTGGCAGCACTGGATAGCTTATACTATTAGGTGTAAGATTTAAACAAACAATGTTGAGTAAACGTAAAGATGTCGAAACAAGAGAGCAATCTGTCAGCCGTTGTCGCTTTGTTGCGCGCCGGAGTATGCATGAAAGAAATAATTGGGAAAGTGTTAAGACGGAGCACCTGCTGATACTGCTAATAAAGCACATAAATGGCTTACGGAAAATATTTCGTAAATTTGGGAGGAAGAAATTTGGCCCCCAAGCAGTCCCGATATCAATCCGTTGGATTATTTTGTATAGGGCGTCGTCCAACGGGATACCAATAGAACCCCTCACACCACACTTAAGTCGCTAAAAGCTAAAATCAAGGCAGTGATGACATCTATGGATCTAAACATTTTAAAACGTGCATACTGCAGTTTCCGGAAGCGTCTAACTACAGTCGTCGAAAGGGAAGGCAATTTTTTTGAATAAATTTACTTACAACTTCCATATGTTGCGAAAGAAAATAAATCGCACAAAATTCATTGCTAGAATAACTAACTGGTGTATTTTTTCTAAAATATGCCATTTACTGCAAAAATTCGTCACGCACCCTGTACATAGTTTGCAGTGTGCAGTATGCAGTGAACTCGAAATTAAAGGAATCATCGAGTTGTTGACAAACAATCCGTTAGTAGATCACCATCGTAGTAGCCTTGAAATTTAATTTTACCATGGTTCTATAACTCGATATGGAGTAATAATCATAGAATTTAAATTTAAATCTTATTAAGAAATTGTATCATGAATGTATTTGTGTGGCTTGAAAGTACTATTCAAATGATGTTAACACTTTTTAAATTCTGTCTTGTATAAAGAAATACAATGAAAATATACCTAGCACAATTTACTTGAACGGCAAAAAAGCGCAATACTAGAGGAAATGACGGCTTCAGCACGTCTTTACCTGTTATCGTAAGGGGGTATATGAAGTCTTAGAATGATAATTTAAACGATGCTCTAGGACATGATTCACTTTGGTACAGAAAATCCGCGCTCAAGAACTTTATTTACCCAACTGTCTTTTCCCATATAAAAAATAAGATATTGGATTTAATAATGTCGATAGAGCGACAATCATCGAAATTATTTACTTGTCAAACTCGGCGACCGTAATTACGTTCTAAAACTATTTGATTATTCTTTAAGCGTAATTATACATCAATGTCAACATTGTTAACTTACCGAAAAAAATAATAATCGCAGTCAAGAAGAATATCGAAATCAGGATGACAACAGCGGGTATTTCCAGAATGTTTTTTGTTTTGTTTTGAAGATCAGCGTTTGCCAAATATACTCCAGCACTAGCGGATCTGATGATTTCCAATGATAATCCGGACGGGTCGTAAAATTCTAGGATTTATTCAATTTTCCACTTCAGGTTGACAGTCGAGTCAAGAACCTTTCAGCACCTTGTGGTCTGGCACTTTTGAAATCACTCAAATCTTCAGCGGAAAAAAAATGATCACAAAGATTGGGTTGTTTATCACTTCGTTTGAATGGCACTCGAGATGTTCGTGATCGAGCCGAGGGTAGCTAGATGTGTAATTTGCTTCTATCACACGTACTTCTGAAAGGTCGCTAATTTATTCACCGCTCTCAAACACCTGTGTTTTCGATTCGGGGTTCGTCACTTATTGCTAATTCTCCCGCAGTCACTCGCACCGACTGGGATCAGGAGAATCTTTGAAATCACTCAGTCACCAAAACAAAAACTAAAATTATGCTAAACAATTCGTTTTCTTCTCGATTAAGCACAGTGCACCACCGAAAAGCCGAAAATCGAAAGTCGTTTCAGCACTCGAAAAAAATGAAACCGCAGAAATCCTGTGGAAAAATTCAATTAGCGTCGTCGTCGTCGTCGTCGATCGTCGAATGATCGTCGTTTCCAAGAACACACTCTCGCTGAGTCGAAAAATGCACAAACAACACGGAGCAAGTGGAGAGCAGAGTCGTTGAAATCCAACTTGATCGACAGGCTGACAGTACACAACCGACAAGAGACAGAAGAAAACAAGTGCGCGCGACACCGCGATCGAACTGAGACTGCAAAAATTTACAAATCAAAACCGAATCGCAGGCACATTTACCTACATGGACGGACGCCCCACGAATGAGCGGGCTTGGAACGGCGAGAATGTTGCTTGAATGCGGGAGAACGAACCGCGATCTTTGGTGGACTCTCCGAGCACCGGGTTCAACCCCCCTCCCCCTGCCGTGTGTCACCGCAGCAGAGCTCTATAGAGTCAACAACGCGCTCGCAGCCCAGCCGAGCAAGGTGAGTATCAGATGCCAAAAAAGGTAGCTAGCAGCCTTTCGGGTTCATTCATGCAAACCGACGACGGGTATTGTGTATAATATGTATCTATATTCTTTAGTATGTCGATCTATCCACTACAATGAGTATGCAAGCAGCGACTAGGAGGATCAGGTTGAATCGCTGTCTTAGTACCTACCTTAGTGGTGAGAATGCGATGCAGTGGTTTTGCACGCGCAGCTGAGACTGAGAGTGCTTGTTTGGGGGGAGATTATGTTAGTGAAGCTCTGATAAAATTCCTAGGGAAAACATGTCACATTTATTGGCATCACATAAGCAAGAAGTCTCGATTACTTTTTTCAAAGGGACGTATGTATCAGCTTTTGTAAATAATGCGTTTGATCGTCGGTTTGGCGTAGCTGGTAGCTCACCCACACATACTAACAACACTATCAGGTTGGGGAATATTTCCCCTATCCGTTAGCATGCGTAGGTGAGCTACCAGTTAATGAAAATGGATTTTTTACAAAAACTGATACGTTCCGTCGAAAAAGTAATCGGGAAGTTTTCTAACAACCAAATTTTAATTGGCAATTAATACGGTAAAAAGATACATATCCTTCCAAAGCGAAATTTTACCACCTTTTGTCTTTACTTAACTGGATCCAATCTTGGGCTTTTTTGCGAAGCTAACAGTACAGCAAATTTTGTGCCATGTTAAAGGTAACCCTCAAACTTTATATGAAAAGAAAACTGTAGGGTAGGGAACTACTTCGGCCTAATAGCCCATTTTGGGCCTATCGAGCAGAAATCTTCAAATAAATCTATGATTTCAGAGTTAACAAATCAATTATGTGTTTGGTCCAATGCTTTAGTTAATAAGCTACGGAACGAAGTCAATTAGAACGCGTGATATGAAGGTTTGCACCCATTATTCCCAAAAACAAAAGAAGCGCTCCGACCGAATAAATTTATATCTTCATCCGATAGGCCGAAGTGATTTCATTGGCGTTTCAATGGCGTTTCAATGCGTTAGGCCGAGTTAAGAATTCGTAGGCCGAGTTTGGCGTCAAAAAGCAGTGTTAGACTTTTGACAATATCTCAACGATTGGTTTCTCTTTATCAAATATCACGGTACATACGGAAAGGTAAATAACTTTGGAAGCCATCAGTAATAATATCATTCCATTTGGTGCTAAACTGCGCTAGATTAAGAAAGATTAAGTGCGGGTTGTGCTTAACAGGCCGGAAATAGGGTATTTAACCCTATCAGGTTCAAACCGTTATGCTGCAATGATGCGAGGCCTCTGGATTTAAGATTTGAAATTTCCGGTCTCTCCCGGTTATCTAGGATAGTATTTTCGGAATAAAAACAACTAAATATGACAAAATCACAGTTCGAAAAACGTAGTGTTAATGTTTGTTCAATATGATGCACATAAATGGAGCGTCTCATATCATATAAGGTTACATTGAAAGTCGTGTAAAGATCTGAGACATTTCATGAAAAGTTGCAAATATTTTGTATAAAAGCCCATTTTTGTAAACAACATTGCTCATAAGTTGCTCTTTTGCGTGAATTTAAATACGTTTACGTTAAGGAATGTTCACATCCCAATTATTGAGTAGATAGAAAGAAAATTTTGAAGATTTCCTGTAAAAAGATGAAGCGCGATGCAAGTAGATGCAAAAAATGGAAGTAAATTTTTCGTAGATTGAGATTTTTCGAGCATCTCTAGGGCATTTCCAGCACAGAAAATATATTGATTTTGTTCCGTTTTTTCGTGTTTCGGGTAGTTACGTTTGGATTTTAGTACGATTTTACACAGATAGTTTTCAAGAATCGCCAATGACCAAGAAAAGTCTGCTAAATCTGGAAAATTTTGAAACTGGCTAGAAACCCAACCCAATGGAATCCCATGAATTTATCACAAAGGAATTCAAATAGAGCAAGAAGCAGCTTTCAACATCGCAAAATTGGTGAAAGCTATCCATTTTTATTTATTAAAACACTCACACATACACATTTACTTTATTTTGACACATAAATATAACATAACCAATGCTATCGCAAATCTGCCAGCAACGTTTACCGAATGTATGGCCTTACCCTCCTCACTAAGAAACCTTCAAACTCCTGTGACACTTATGAGCGGTCGTAGAGTTCTCTGCATCTCTCTCTTAAGTAAGTGTCCAACTAAAAATCCTTCCCATCCGCAGCAGTTACACTGATACTGCTACTTTCATCTAAGAGGCCGAGATCAATCCCATATCTCGGTCAATACGGTAATGGACGGAGGTGGCAGTACTCACATAAAATGGTCTAGGACTTGTACCACCTACGAATTTGTGCAACTTGCTTAATGCTAATCTATGGGGCATTTCCAGCCCAAAACGTAAACCCTTTGGACATGATTTTTTGAATGAAACATCACTAATATGTTCACTGCAACCTGCATATGAATTCTGCATATCTTAATCGTTCGTTACATACCTAAAGAGAACTTAATCGTACTTTGACGCGAAGCGCTGTGGATTAAGAGATGCTCGATGACCCTGGAGGGATCGATTTTGCTTACTGAGCAGAAAATCATGGATTTAACCCCAAGCTCTTCCACAGCACAATAAATCGGCACCATCATTTGTATATTTGCTATTGAACATTAACCTCGGAAACTATTTGCGTATCAAGCGCAAACGTAGTCCTGTATTGTCGCGAAGCGTTATGGTTCAGAGATGCTCGATGACCCTGGAGGGATCGTTTTTGCTTATTGAGCAAAAAATCATGGGTTTAATCCCAAGCTCTCCGTCATGACTCTTAAAATTCATGATCACTAAACAAAATGAATATGTTCTTTCGATAACCGGCTATCGAGAGATTAAATAAACAACAAATAAACAATACATACTTTTGGTTGCATCGCCAACTTGAGGTGAATCCTAACCGAATACCCTACCCAACCCTCCAACTCCGTAGCACTTATGAGGCGGGTGTCGCTAAGTCGGTGGCCTCTCGTTAAGTAAGTACTACATCAACATTTCCTTCCCTATCCCTAGTTATGGTAAAGATGGGCGTGGCCGGGAACAGCGACACTGATGCTTCTGTTACTCTTATTTAGATTGGAACCAATGTTTACTCCCCAGCATTATTCCTGAAAGTAGTCTAACTGATAATTTCAGGAGAGACGTGAGTGTCGCTAATATCCAATCTACGAAGTATTTCATAACAACGCTAATGCTAACGCTAACGCTAGGAATGTTTTCATCACAAGAAAAATTCTGTTTTTTGTTGTGTAAGTTTTATCAAGGTTTTAGAGCATCCTTCAACGCTTAAATTTACTTGGGGATTATTTATTATCATCGGATAAAACGGACCGAAGGGTCTCGGAATTTTATGAATTTTTGCCAATATAGGTAGAGTTCATGCGAAGACTTGGCAACTGTGCCAGAACCCAAGTGACAGATACAATTACGCTGCGCTCGAGCGAAGGTGGAAGCAACACATAGAAAAATCAGCAAATACACAAACTTTTCTTATCAGTGTTCACTCGGCTGTCGACAAAAGCAGGCCACTCTCGATGTGTGCCACGCGATCGTCTGTTTTCGCGGCAGCAACCATTGTGTGGTCCTCCTCATTGTTCTTCATCAGCAGTTCTTTCGGTCGATGCGTCGTCGACTTTGGAAAGCAACTGTTTCGTGATGAGTGTGTGAGTGCTGACCACGTTTTGCGTCCATTGCTGCAATGGACGCGCTCTGACCCTCGTTGGCGTACAACAATTTGCCATACAATGAAACTACTAGAAGCGGCTCCAGTTATGATGGAGGAGGCTTTTTGGATAGCGGAAGATAAAGTATTTATTGTGTTGTACCTTTTGACTATAATTTTAAGATGTATTGTATAGTGACCAAGAATCCTCGGCTCTGTAAAGTTAATTCGGTTGAGCCTTATCAAATAAATTAATAAACAAGACAAACTTTTCTTATGAGGATGGAATCTTAGCTATTCAATTCGTTCGGAGATAAATACCTTTGAACGGCACATGACGCGATTGAACCTGTCTCATACCGGTCGTATGATAAAATGGGAGAGTTGCTAGTCTTCTAGATATGTTGTCTTCGGTTTATAACGCATGAAAAAACTACAAAGGACAGCCCAATGGGGTTGAACGCAATGATGACGTAGGACTACGTGGCACGCTATGTCTGAAGGCACGTTTTTTGCAACATTCATGTACCTCAGATTTTCCTTAACAGGATGTTAGTATTGATCCTAACAATCAAATCTGTGATGGTTTTAAAATATTTCACCTTGGGTTTTTTGAGAAAAAGTGTTTTGAAGTTTACAAAGCCGATTATGAAGGCGTATATGGACTATTGACGATACAAAACTATTACGAATTGAACAAATGCAGTTAAACAAGATTCAAATGATGATTGAATTAATCTAAATGGCATTAAAGAGTTCTCTTTGACTCTCAAGTAAGATCCGTATTGATTATGTCGACTTTGACCAAAATCAATTAATAATTGTTGCTAGAACAACTTCTTAATTAATTTCTCTTCCCTTATAATAGTAAAAGAGAAAGAAACGAGCAGGACATTCTGAGGCAGCCAGCTAATCATAGTAGGCATTGATTTTCTTCCTGTTTCGAGTGTTTTTGTTTTTATTGGAGGTATCGTGTAGAAAATCTGGAAAGATTAAAAACATCCCGAGGAGTGGACAATTTGCTTGGATTTAAAAAAAAAAAACAGATATGTTTGACTCAA